GTGTTTACCTCGTCCATCGGTGCTATTTACATGGATCCTAACAGAGATCCCGATAAAGTTGTTGACGAGAGTTGCTGGAGTGACCTCGAGTTCTGCAAGAACACTAAGGTTTGTGCGTTCGACTCTCACTTAAACAAAAATACAAAATGAAAAACGAATATTTTTGTGAAGTAAAAGTTAATGCTGTTAGATTTTAGGGGTGCCCAAACGAACATGGGGTGCCCGGATGAATGTGGTATTTTTACAAATCTAAGGAGCTACTTGGAAATTGTATTATATTTTTCTTAGTTTAATCACCAACTACAATTTCTACATCTGCGTCATTTCACTAAATATCTCTTCATTTAAACGTCTTTTCACATTTGTTGAATAATTTAAATGCTCGGATCCACTTTCTCTAATTTAAAATAATATTCAATCCATTGGAATGAATATGAATGAATATGTGGGGCCCACTTTATATTATCTTCTAGATGTCATTCAATCCATTAAATGAAACATATGGATCCCGCCATTTTTATCAAATTAAATTTAATGAGTGATCGTTCATGCACCCATTTAAATGGCAATTAAATAGACCAATGTAGATGCCCCAACAGATGCCCAAACTTATGACTTGTGAAATGTGGTGTGTCCTTAGAACTGGTATTGCTATGGTAAAACCGTGGCTGAGCAAGCAGCTTGCGACACGGCCAAGGAATTAGGGGTTGACCTTGTCGTCGTCAACCCTGTTCTCACGCTAGGCCCCTTGCTCCAGCCGACTGTCAACGCGAGTGTCCTTCACATACTCAAGTACCTAACGGGGTCCGCCAAGACCTACGCCAACTCCATCCAAGCCTACGTGCACGTTAAGGACGTGGCGTTGGCCCACCTACTCTTGTTCGAGGCGCCCGAAGCTTCCGGAAGGTACTTATGCGCGGAGAGCGTGCTCCACCGTGGCGACGTCGTGGAGATTCTCGCCAAGATCTTCCCCGAGTATCCTATCCCGACCAAGTAAGTTCGATCGTTTCAACTTTAGTTTCTACTATAGTTATGGGGGATGTCTACAATCCCGTCACGGTATGATTTCATTATCCTAATATTAATCAGTGGATCTTTTAGTTTGGTATGGGCTCCGTCAGGATTTGTAACCGTTAGATCAACTATCCGCGACGGTTACATGATGATCTAACGGTAACAAATCTCGACGGAATGGTTCCGTAACGGGACCGTAACATTTCCCATGAAATTTGGAGATATAACGTTGTAATTTCAACTCTTGGTTTTGCTAAGCACAGGTGCTCAGATGAAACGAACCCAAGGAAAAAGGCATACAAATTTTCAAACCAGAAGCTTGTTGATTTGGGCTTGGAGTTCACGCCCGTTAAGCAGTGCTTATATGACACGGTCAAAAGCCTTCAGGAAAAAGGCCACCTTCCTATCCTAAATCAGAATGATGCGTCCATTCGTATCCAGTCTTAGGGCCTTTGGTATTCGTTCGGCCGCCGAAAATACCAGAGATTTTATGGGCCCCCATGTTATGTGAGCCTTTTGTGTTCGTTGGGCCGCCAAAAATATGAGACGGCCCACATGTTATGTGTGGTCTGTAGCGTGAAAAGTTGGCACAATATGGTTCTCCTCCATCTTCATCGTTTTCCTTTTTCTTTTCCCCCTTTGAATAAGAATAATCATTTGTTGAATAATATTTGTTACTTCCAAGGTGCTAATGAAGTTAAATACGGGGAGCCAATATAATCTCTACATGGCTCTATTGCCTAGCTATGATTAATGGACATTATTGTTATATATGAACAAAAAATAACTCTTGCATACTAATTGTGTTAAACAAATAGTGTTATCACACAGCAACTTGCAACCGTACTTCCCAAAATAAATAGAATAATGCTACTTGTACCCTTTGGTGTACCATTTGGTTTACATTACTAAATTATTTATTAAGGGTAAATGGGTACATGTACCCCTTGGATGTAAACCAAGTGGTACACCAAGGTGTACATGCAGCATGATCCAAATAACACTACGAGAATAATTATTTTTAGTGACGATAATTTTTGTCGCTATGTCGTCAGAAAAAATATCGTCGCTGATAATGTCCTAATATTGTCGCTATATGTTCGAATGTCGTCACAATAATACCTCTTATTGTGAAGGTATTTTTTGTGACGACATAGTGACAAAAATTATTGTCACTAAAAATGATTATTCTTGTAGTGTAATAACATATTGAATAATGAATGTTATAACAACGTTTGGAAAAAGGTAGCTCACAAAAAAATATATGAATAAAATGAACTCGTGAGAGTTGAAAGGATTAGACTCCGTTTGACCCGGCTAGTCTCTTTTTCGATAGATCGAGTCAATGAGTACATGAAATCGACCTCGGAGACTTGAAGACAAACTCCGAGGTTAAACCTTTGTAATAATCATCTTAACAGTTTTCATTTGGAAGAAATGACTCACGTAAAAAAAAAAAAAATACAAATAAACAGAAGTGGAGTTGGCCATGTTGGTTTCCTGCTTTATCGTTTCTTATATGCTGAGTAGACCATTCCTGGTTTTTTACACGTGTATTTAGAAAAAAGAGTTTGAATCGAGTAAATCATGTGTAGAATGACTTGTGACTGGTTTTTGTTTTGTATGAGTTCACCTTGTGACGACCTTGTTTGTGAATTTGAGTTTAATTTTGTGGATAACCGGAGGAAGAAGAGAGTTGCATCTCGCATAATTATTAATTTTGTGGACGACCGAGCCGTCCCGTGATCCATCCAAACCATTGCCGAGTCGTCCAATCTATTATGTGTCGTCCTGAGTCAAGACTCGCGCCATGCCAGACGCCAGCGCCGCGCCGC